GGGATATTTCTTGCTTCGTGTTTGTATATAAATACATATTTATATAGTTAATATATAAAAAGTAAATATACTAGTAATCACTGGCCCCTGTGACTACACGTCCTCAAAAAGTTCTATTCCGTTAGGGGTGGGTGGCTTCCTCTAACTTTCATTTAATGCAGGAATTTGCCAATGTTTAATCTTTTTAGCCATGGGTATCATCTAAATAAAAATGTACGTATCAAAACTAGGCAAATAATATTGACCCCCCCCCCTACTCTGTTACGGACAAATATAAGATAACGGGATTTATTTCCAAATAAGTCATCTATGAGAGTTCGCTTGCACCCCATTCATAACAATCATTTTCGTCTGTTTAAAGTAATTTTGCGAACTCTTATGTATGTAATATTTGAAAAATGACTGCAAGAATGCACAAATATCCTCCAAACCAATGAACATTTAAAAAAAAAAAAAAAAACCTTCAATTCAATTTGCATGGAATTTTGATTGCAAAAAGATATTCTTGTAAGCAGTTTTGCCGAAACATTCGCTATATTGTTAAGAAAATAAACTCTTAGCCATTTTCTACAACATGTAACACCATTATCAACAGATACAATTTCGTTATTAACTATTAAGCCACCATTTTCAACATTAAACCCTCTGAATATTCGCATAAAAGAATCTGGAACTTGATAGTCATCATCATGGGCGATGTTCCAAGTTACGCTGTTCAGAAATTAAAAAAAATAATGTAAAAAAATTAAAAGATCACTAAAAGTTGCCAGACATTACCGGACATTAATTTTACTATACACCACAAATTCATTATTGTGGACTGTTATGATAACGATATCACTGAGGTTAAACACACCTTTGAGTATGATGAGCTAGAAAAATCATTAACTTGTGATAGCCGAAAGTTTTACTTTTCCTATATGCCTCTCTTTATATTAAGAGGCCTTTATTTCTAAAGACAATAGTGGCAAACTAGTGAGTATACAAATATATAATATTATATTGGCGTCGGAAGCAAATTAAAGGGGGGGGGGGGGTAAGTATAAGAATTTTTACCTTAAGAATACCTTAAAAAAAACCTGACAAGCAAAAAAAAAAAAAAAAAAGGAAAAAGCCAATTTCCCAAAGACGAAAGTCCTATTCCGTAGGGGGGAGAGGGGGGGAGTTAGAACTTCAGTACCAATTTTTTTTCCAAACACGACCACTTTCCTCATTTTTAACCTATACTGCAACGTGCCTGTGGAAAGTGGGGGGCTAAACCATTTTCAATGACTAGGTATATATTTGGAAAAAAAAGCATGATGAAACCAAAGTTAAGCATATTCATACATCTTATTGGAAGACAAAGATATAAACTTCTATTAAATAAAAAAAAAATGACTGGATCTGAAATTATAGCTATTAATTCAATCTGCAAATGCCTTATACAGGAAAGAGGGCGTAAAAGGTGAGGACAATTTAATCTCCCGCTCCGAGACATTGTATTTCTTAATTTCGAAAATTCACGGAAAAGTTTTATTTTTCTAAAATTATGTTTTCAGTTATGTCATCTTTAACACGTTTGATTTATTTATTTCATTGAATGACTTAATTGATATTTTGTAAAGTTGACATGCAGAACTTACGCATATTTACCGGGAAAAGGTCATGGGTAGAAATTGTCTTTGTAGAATCTATTTTACGTTTTCAAAAAATGGAGTCCGAAACTATTCAATATAAAAAGCAATTAATGGAAAGATTTTTAATTCAACAACTCAATTTACCTAAAGCACTCTAACATACATTGATGACAAAAAGCCCTCGTAACGTAGTGGTTAACATGTTCAGGTTAAGAGAAAAAACGGGTTCGGTATGATGCCCAACCTTGAGCTTTGGATAGAGTTCGATTCTTGTGAGAATTTTTTTTCACAACCTTAAAACAAACCTAAGTGAAAAATGAAATTATATAATCAATAAGTTATTTAATAAAATAAAAGAGGGAGATTTGTAAAAGATGACTCTGACAATGCAATTATTGAAAAACATCATATCATGAATTCTTACAATAAGAGTTGAATTTTTTTTTGTCTCAAAGTGGGGATTGTCCTAGCCTTGGACACCTCTATTCTAAAACCAGTAAATAATTGTGCCCCCATTAAATATTAAACCTTGAATTTGGTGAAAATTAGTGTACAGAAAGATAATTATGCACATGCATTTCATCAAAGTCTAGAAGTAGTACTGTACAAAGTAATAGTATTTTATTTCTCTCATGGCAGCTAGATACGTATATTCCTCTCTCCAATCAACACCCCCCTTATAATACTAAACAATAGATGAACAAATCAAATGCAATATCGTACGGGAATCAGACTCTGTGAAAAATCTTAGGGAAACTTTAATTCTATTTTTGTAAGTTAAGTGTTACTTAACAATCAATCAGTACTTGGGCAGGCTGGACCCCCCAACCCCCACCCCAAAAAAAGGAAGAAGAAACGGTTTTGTATTCAAGTCGTCCGCCTTTTACCGTCGAATGGGAGGAAGGGAGCCCTGAACTTGACATAGTGATTTTAAGTAAGTGTAAAAGATATATCTAAAGACCAGTTTTTCTGAACTAGGGTGTTTTAAGCCTGAATTACTATTGCCAATTTTCACTAAAAGATAGATAAATATTGATAAATTGCGGCTTTATCCCCTAAACAATATTATACGTTTACGTTCTTTATTCCTGCTAGTCCTGGAATTTTTTGTGGTTCGTGGCTGCAACCCCAACCCACAATATTTCTTCCTAGGACCTTCATAGCTCTTATAATGCCTGAAAAGAGAGGATTTGCTTTCCTTGCAGAATTGACCCAAAAGCTACATGTAATCAGTATGAGTATCAATTTAAAAAAGAAATAAAATTAATGTGTCTTTATTTATTTCATAAAACGTTTTATGTCGCTTTTGGTATTTATTGAAAACTTTACTTTCACTTCGCACCTGCTGTAGACCAAATCTCCATGACTGTAGTTCGAATAGGCTGATATATCAATGTATACAAACATGGTTTAAGGAAAAGCTATAGTTTTAAATGAGGATGAAGATGTAGAATTTTATGTGTTATAATTATAAATGCATGTGCGTATTTCATGTTGTCCATTTTACTGAGCAATGCCAAACAATAACAATATACAATGTACGTCAATAGCGAATATGACTTTGAATACATTCAGTATTTGTACACAATTTCAAAATAAATGGTTTTTAAAAGTTCTGTAGCTCTTATTTAGTATTTTTTAACGTATTCTTTTCTTTTGCTGATGCATGATACATACGTTTTATACGCATGACTTCAAAGAAAAGTCCGACAATATTTGTTTACCTCCAGTGTGGGATCAACTAATTACAGTAAACTGCGCCCCCCCCCCCAAAAAAAAAAAACATTGAATAGTGGACCTATACAAGTGAACAACTAAAAAATCGTAGTATGATACTTTTTTGTGAAAAATGTTTAATATTCTAACAAAATCTATAACCATATAATTTAAAAGGGGCAAAAGGGTTAAAACTGAGGAAATTCGGATTTATATGGAAATGTTCTTTTTAAGGTACATGTATGAGCACACTTCTGCCCCACAAAATTTTTTTCATGAATAGAAACCTTTTGATGTTAGTTTTAAATTGAACCCTAAATAAATTTGGGGCAGGCCTGTGCTCTATGTAAAATTTGACTATTTAGCCCCCCAAAATGTGATAAATCAAGCAAATTCCCGATTTTCTATGATTTTGGGGCTATAGATCTCAGGTATACAAGTATGGAACTCCAGGATTTTTTCCACTTTGATAAAGTACAATACCTAGACTACCTATTAAGCAAAAAATTTTTGGCCAAAAGACCATTTTATAGGGCATATTTTGACCCTTCGTGGGCCAAGCTCTTTTATTTTCAAACATTGAAATATGTCTACTTTCACACTGCAAATATCGCCGCTAGGGTCCCCATGTGTTTACACAGACCAGCAGCAATAGCCTGTGGCTATATATAGCCACCGTCTAAAAACGTCTTGGTCCACGAACTTTTATGGCAACCCTCATGTGTTCAATGTTTATGTTTCTGTGACAGTCGGACAGATTGACAGACGGACAGACGACCAAGATTTAATGCCCCTTACCTTCACAAAAACAGGAGAACAGCAATTTAAAAAAAACAAATATCAATAAGTATATTAATTTTGTTAGTATTGAACTGAAAAATACAGTATTCATCAAGTGCACGTGAATATAAACGTCAGCTACAGTGAAAATAAAGTGCTGTTCAGTTTACTCCTGCAAGGGTTCAATTCAAATAAGCAAGATTTTTATGTACCTTGTTTGAAATTAAACGTTTTATTATAATAACATTTTATTAAATTGTTTTAAAATCATGTTTATTATATTGTTAAATTACTTATATTAAGTTACTTGAAAAATATCAATGAATATATTGATTTGCGTTCAAAGTTTGCCGAAATAAGTAGAACAAAATGTTGGTTTTTTTTGTGAAACACTGATGCCCCCGTATTGTAGCTTATGGCTGAAGCGTTTAATTTTCTCAAATGCACTTCAAAGGTCAAGGTAAAAAGTGTAAGTCTTGTAAAAAGGACACAACTGTGAAACATGAAAACCCAAGTTTAAATTGCAAGAGTTATGGACAAGATAATTTTGTGGATCAAATTCAAAGGTCAAGGTCAAAAGGTCAAGTCAAAAAATTTTTACCCTCTGAAAGGTCTTAGCACATTGAATATGAATACATTTGTAAATTATGTGAACCCAAACCCAAATATTTATTAATAATAAGAATAATATAATAATAATTTACTCTAAATATTAAATTCATAATTTAAATTTGAATTTTGTATATCTGAAGCTAGCTATAGTGGGCTTCCTGCACGCTTAGTTTGTCCATCTCCTTTTTCCCGCCAAAGAATATGCTATACAGTTTCTATAGTGCATGACAGTTTTAACTAAACAGTAGTTGTGTGGTCCTTTAATTTGTAGTCTCAATCAGAATATTCCCATGTTTCAACATCCTCTGCATCCTTTTTCCATTTAACATATCTATTTCTTCGCTGAAAAATATGAAGAAAGTTTTATTTGAAGAAAACAATATGTTCATGATACAGATGCACATATATAATTATAAAGTGCCCGTTTAACAGTTTCATAGACTTATTTTTTTTCTTATTTACAATGAATTTGAAATAAAGACTGTTATAGTCAATATATAGTAAACGACTCTAGATTAATTTTTTTGGTGTTGTAATCAGTTTTAACTTTGTTTTCCCTGTACCGTTCGGCTTAAGTAGAATTATGTAGAAAATATATAGGGTTTTTTTTCATTCAATCAATCTGAAGTCATATGAGAAGTAAACCCGATACCTATATTATATTAGCATCTATTAATTAAAGAATAGATGCCTTTATTTTATGAGGAAAACTTTGTTGCTGCTATTTGAGTTGGGTTAGCTATAAATTAGATCGGGTTCGGGATATCTCAAATTCCCCCTCTTTGCCCTGGATCCTAAGAACGAAAGGTATACGATTTTTGTAGCAGACAGAATTTTCAAAAAATATGCTTTCAATCACGATTGCTTCTTAAATAAATTCATAAAATAGTATAGACAAATATCGGATTTGATGATTAGATGCATGGATGGATCATTCTTTTTTGAAAAAATGCGAGATTGGCTAGGATTGAAATTTTCTTTGTCAGCATACATGTGGCATAAGTTGTGTTAAAACTTGTTAACCCTTTAGTTTACGAGCATAAAATATATCAGATTGAGGAATATTTTGTAATTATGCATTAAATATATCTATATATAAATTGGGCATTATCAATGAGAAATCGGGGGGGGGGGGGGGTAATACAGTACTCATATGAACAAAACTTTATAGTCAGGGTTTATCATTTTTCAAAGCATTTATTCAATTGAACATTCTCACATCTCAATTGATGCAATACGTAATATCGTGAATACCAATGGTGCTCTAACTTACTACCGCTCTTTTGTGGGGGAGTTCTAAATTTCTGGGGGCACATGGCATGACATTGTTTTAGTAGTGTCAATCGAATGATTCTAACAATTTAATGAAGAAAGCACTATGTTTTGCCAGATATTGAATTCCAAATAATAGATGGTCAAATAAGGAAAGTTTAGAATATTTTATCTGCTTTAAAATGTGACGATTTTCAATGAAAATTTAATGAGAAGAGTCCGCTTAGTTAAAAATATCGTTAATAATGTAATACTTTAGGATTAGGATCCTCTCAAAACATTATTAGGCTAGTTAGGCAATTGTTTAGCAAGGTATTCCGCCAGGATCCATCTTGCATTGCATCCAATAGCACTTTGCCCCCACCCAAAAGACATTTCCTACCTCCATCGCGAAAGAATTCCGCTAAGTTAAGTAATCGCGATATCAAGTATGTGGGGATCTTTTAAACGTACTTTGCAATAGGAAAACAAAAATCAAACAAACTAAAACCCCCAAAAGCAAAATTATACCTTTTCCAGATCTGAGGATTAACAGTGAAACTTCAAATATTGTAAGGGTAATTTTCAGAATAAATCAGGCTATAAGTTATTTTCATGCCATAGGAACTTAATTCATATTTGGCTTAATTTATGCCCCCTATATCATGTAAATTAAACAAAACAATCAACCAAGAACAGCCAATGCTTTATTCAAACTTCAATCAGTTTTAACTTTGTTTTCCCTGTACCGTTCGGCTTAAGTAGAATTATGTAGGGTTTTTTTTTCATTCAATCAATCTGAAGTCATATGAGAAGTAAACCCGATACCTATATTATATTTGATATTATATTACAGAAAACGCCATGAACATAAAAAATTCCCTTTTCTGAGAGACTGTAGGCAATCTGAGTATATTTCCTTTGTCGAATATAAAAAAAAATCCCATATTCTTGACTGGTTTTCTTAATTCTTCATTGAAAATAACAGTTTAAAGTATGGTTTTTCATCTTATTTACCTACACATTATACCCCAAAACACCTTATTTGTACAAGCTAAATTTTTAAACCATCATTATAGGAATTTATTTCTTAAATTTGGTAAATCTGTATGCATCTGTCAGTTACTAGATCTTGACCTTATAATTGTATTTACCTTTACCAAGTCTGATCTCCTGGAAAATAAACGCTGACTTTTTTTGTGCTCTTGGTCATTTTCCTGTTTGAACAGAATACAAGAGTACATACATGATTATGTCATTTAATTATTAAAGTACCGAAATTAGTAAGACAGTGTAATAGATCTTTTGGAAATTGTGCACAATCACTTTTGAATGAAATTTTGTATGAAATGTTTTCGTACAGACTGATATGTTAAATTAACTTGATCGTCAATTGTGGTACCAACTTACCCCTGAAGATCATATTTTTAACATACATGTTCATGAACCTATACTTATTGGGAATGCTTCTACTTAAAAATAACTTCTGATGACTTTGCTGTTCTTGAAAATATTTTATGTTATTTTTCCATATATTCCATGTAAAATTAATTGTCCATCGTGGCAAAACCCTGTTCCCAGAGATCATGATTTGAACGAAATTTAATCTTAACAACCCGAGGATCCTTAAATATAAAGATTTTTCAGACATGCCTGTTCTTGAGAAGATTCTTATAGATTTCTCCTATTTACTCCTATGTAACACTTCAATCGTCCATTGTGGCTCCATTCCCCCCTTTGGGGTCATGATTTGAACAAACTTCAATCTTTATCACCTGAAGATGTTTTCAATAAATACGACCAATCATGTATTTGCTGATCGTGAGAGAACTTTCGAATATTTTCTTATACCTACATGTATGTAAAATAAATTGATCGTCAACTGTGGCCCCACCTTATCCCCGTGGGTCATGATTGGAACAATCTTAAATCTTCATTTCCTGAGGATGACTTTACATGAGTTTCCTCTTTCCTCGACCAGTTGTTCTTGAAAAGATTTTTAAAAGATGCCTTTATTTTTTCACGATTTGTAAATTTCACCCCTTGGAAGAGGGTTTAATTTAAAGAAACTTGAATCTCAATTTTCCCTTAAGATTTTCTGTGCCACCTTTTTTTGGAATTGACCTAATATGAGGCTATGAAATTGTGAAACGTTTGATTTACAACGGCGACGACAATAACACAGAACGGAAAACCGCGACCAGGGTCCACTATTATAAAACATGCTTAAGTCTGAGAATGCTCTCAAATCTGAGAATTTTCTCAAATCCAAAATTCTTAGACTCAGCGGCAGTCATAAAAAGATGAGCAAAATAAAAATACCTTAACCTCTTTTATTTTCAAATTCTCAGCTGAGTAATTCTAGAGTTGAGTTGAGAATATTTTTTTGAGAATTCTCAAAGCTTTATAACGGTGGACCATGAAAATCTCACTTGAACATTCGGTGAGCTTTAAGGTTGTTCTCCAACAAATCTCATTTTAGTCGATTTTATGAGAGTTGTAAAAGACAATGAAAATTAATTCGTAAAACATATGATAATTATTCAAATGCAGGTAATTGTAACACAATAATGATATAAATCTATGTTTACAACCACATACTTAAGATTATGAATGTGCAGTTGTAATAATTTTTTTTAAAAAAAAAGACCCTTGTTAAATATTACCTTTCTCCAGTACATAAGCATTTGTTTCCAGCTTAGATAATGGAGATTTCTATCATGTTTTGGACATAATGAAGATGACTCAGAAGGATCAGCTAAATAAATTTCTACAGCTTCTGACTCACGAATGAAAACAGCATCCTCGCTTTCCTCTGTGACATTGGTTGATTTGCACGTGAATCCGGGAAAATATTCAACCGGCTTATGAAAGGTTTGCGTTAGTTGTTCCAAAAATGATTCAATCTTACAGCGAATATCCAAGATAGCATTTGCTTCCAATGGTTTTGAGTTGCAATTATATATCTGAAGGTGAATTTGTGAACTGCTTACACCCAAGACTATTCGATGGCAATTGTCTGTATACTTTAGAAAGGCAGCGTTTTTGAAAAGCAGCGGAAGTTTACCATCTTCTTGTGCTTTCCAGTGTCCCATACTTGCTACAACAAGTCTATAGAAATAAAAATGTGGTAAAAATTGCGGAAATTTAAATTTTAAAATGCTAGTATGCTTAGAATTTTCAATTTGTTCAAAATCGTTATCTGCCAGTTCTAGTTTATTCACACTTGGTACATAAAGATTTTCATTCCCAACCGCGATCAGGCCAAGTCGCTGCATATATAACAAAACCTGATCTTTATAAAGAATCATTTCATGTAATCCCAACTCCGTCCAAATTGTTATAATATGATCATCTTCTAGCATTCCTGTTTCATTAAAAGAGGTCCATTCTTTCATTGTGACTCGTGTTCTGTGGTTTTTATCAGTTATAACATTCTTAAATGCATTGACAAACCATTGGACATCAAGGATTATAAAATCTGAAAGACCTATTTCATTGAAAAATAGAATTTTACCACAATCATGATAGAATCGTAGCATGTCCAAGATATCTTCATTTTGTTCCGGAATAAGAGTCTTAAATTTGTTTGAATGGATTAGTTTCAAATAAGTTATTAGTCGTTCAGTTTTGAAACTGCCTAATTTCCGATCAAAGTCATCCCATTGTTTTGGTAATATTTCGCCCCAGGTTGATTGTTTCTGTATCATCTCGACAATACACTTTTCCAATCTTTCCATTTCATCTCTGCTTTCTCCCGGTTTTCCTAATTCAAAGTAGTTCTTTCTATGGAGATGTTTTTGCAATTGATTAACATCTGGGAGTTGTGAAAGAAAGTTGTCGAACCTCTCAAACTTAGTTTTGCACTAAAGTAAATTAAAAAGATTTAGTTAAGTATATTCAACATGATACTAAGATACTAGATGAAAGCAAGGGCAAGCGCGTGAAAATTTAATTTTCTGATAACCTGATAAGCTGATAGCAAATATATTCCCCAAAGGTATCTTTCTTGTTCTACTGGCATCTAAAAATACTTATAGAATGACAAAATACATGTACTTCAAATCCTGCATTTTATTTAGGAACAGAAATATGTAATTGAAAGATATACATGTATATACAACCACTATTATATTTTCCACTTTTAAAAAAATCGGCGTTGATTCCTTTTGTGGAATAAGGTAGATGTCTGTTGTATTAAAATGAATACAGGCCTAAAAGATTTATGGATATTTAATGAAAAAGAATGTATCTTGAAAAACCATTGAGATATATTGATCAAATAACATGAAAAATTAAACATGTTTAAGGGCATCAGAAATGCGTTGTTGTATATACATGTTCGAAACAAAAACACTATCCATCAATCAACATTTATTTGTAGGTTTATTGGCACAACTTACTTTTTCTTTCAAAGCATGAAAAAGGTAACGTAGATTTGAAACTCATGAATACAAAGGATTTATCAATAAAACTTTAAATCTTATAAGCAACAAAACCATAATGTGTCAAAAAAGCATTCTAAGGAAGTGTAGATTTAAGTTTGTTTAAATACCCCCTCCCCTCCCCAGAACCCATTTTTATAATATATTTAAACTTTTCAATACTGAACTAATTTTTGTTTTTACCTAGCTATAGCCAGTTGCTCAGGTAAGAGATGTGGCCCCTGTTAAGAATTCATGTCAGCTTTAAATTAAAAGTGGGATCGGACATAAACGGAGAGAAGCACATTTTGTTTTTTAATCAGATATCACAAAGTATTCCTTTTTCATCGCTAAAATAAAGTTTTGATTGAATAATTCATTAATGATGTTTTTATGAAACGAAAAAAAAAATGTATGGTTGATGTCATTTTCATTAGAATATGTCAGCAACTTGGATCCGCTAACCGGAACTATAACTATATACTCATATGTGTTTTTTTTCTAGGCTGCTAATCAAAAACATTTAATTAAATTCACAATAATATCTATGCAAAGTGAAGTCTGGATATATTTTACAGAAATCGCCTTGTACCTAGTGTATTTCTAGAGGAGTTAGAAAGAATATTTGTGCTGCCGTTTCGGAGCTTATCGGCACAATTTATCAAAATATAAGTGTAGATAGTTATGGGACTGCACTACAATTTCTCTGAATTGTTCAAAATTTGTAAATCTCTTTTTTTTAATCTATGGTTGTCTATTGAGTTACAAATTTTTTCTGCATTTTCTAGATATTTGTAATATTAGATTTTTTTTTATTTTAAGTATTTGATTTTGATTTTCTTACTTCCATTTATTTTTTATTGTAATCATTTACAATAGATTGCTATAAATTCATATAACCTTCTCTGTTTGCTCACTGACGAGATCCTTGTGGGTACCGACTAAGATGACTGGACTCGTTTTATCACAATATGTGCTGATGGACTCCATCCAGAATTTGTAGTAATCTGTTAAATATAATTATAAGCTAAATCTGGAAGAAGTATGTAAATAATATGTATACAGTTAGGGGGTTGTCATTTTTTTGAGATATAATATTGATAAATAATACTTGATTGTGAATCTTTATTAAGGTCTTCCGTCTTCACGGAAGACCTTATAGTGATTCTATTGCTTCTTCTTATTATTATTAGGGTCTTCCGTCTTCAGCGGAAGACCCTTCTATTATTCTTCGGTTTCTTTTTTACCTTTTTTCTTTTTATTCTTTTTTCTTCTTACAAAATTTGTGCAGGCGATTTCTCGTAGATGGCTCGTTCGATTTCCTTCAAATTTTCACTGTCGATGCGTTGTTATCTGAAGTTAATTCCGGCAAATCATTTTTTTTGAAATTCACTTCCGGTCGGAAGTTATCGCCCTTTGATCGAAATTTAGTGGACCTTCTTGTCTGTGATGGAACTCAAAAACGGCTCAAGCTAGAAAGCTGAAATTTTCAGGGATGATAGAGGACATGTTGCCATGTTGCACCTGGGTCAGGATATTTTCCGGAAGTGCCTAGTATGGAAGCTCGTTAGGGGTCAAAATTTAGGACACCTTTTATGAATGATTTTTTGAGACATTTTGCATTATATCTTTTAAAATATAATTATTTTGTTAGAACATACTGAACAACATTTGTGCAAAATATCAAGGTCTTTAATATGATATCAAGAAATAGGGGCTGACTCATCAAATAAAGGGCTGAAAGGGGCCAACATTTTTTATTCAATAACTCTTTTAAATTTAATATTTTGTTATACATTTCTGAAGCTAAAATGTTTATCCCAACAATTTACAACTATATATTATGGTTTTTATGTCGTATGGTTCATAATTAGGGGCCACAAGGGGCCAGAATGCCAAATCTTTGACGCTTTATATCTCGAAAGTGAGAACTATTTTGATAAATAATATTGAACAAAAGATGTTCAAAATCATGTTCTGAACAATATGCAACCTATCATTTTTCGCTAAACATCCCCATTAGGGAGATGAGGGGTTGGCCCCTAAATATTTCTTTTGCAAATAACTCGTAAACGAAAAAGAATCTCTGAATAGTTGTTGAACAAAAGGTGTTTAAAATCTTAAAAGCTTTATGATGAAATCAAGAAAAAGGGGCTGGGCGCTCAAATTAGGGGCCAAGAGGGGCGAGAAGTCTTCAATGAATTACTCTTAATGAGTTGATATTTTGTAATAAATTACTGTAGCAAAGATGTTTATCTCAACCATTTTCAACTATATTTTATGATTTTTATGTCGTACGGTACATAATTAGGGGCCACAAGGGACCAGAATTCTAAATCTTTGACGCTTTATATCTCGAAAATGAGAAATATTTTGATAAGTAATATTGAACAAAAGATGTTCAAAATCATGTTCTGAACAAAATACAACCTTTCATTTTTCGCTAAACGTCCCCATTAGGGAGTTGAAGGGATGGCCCCTAAATATTTCTTTTGCAAATAACTCGAAAACGAAAAAGAATCTCTGAATAGTTGTTGAATAAAAAGTGTTCAAAATTCTAAGAGCTTCAAGATGAAATCAAGAAAAAAGGGCTAGGAACTCAAATTAGGGGCCAAAAGGGGCTAAAATCTTTTTTCGATAACTCTTTAACAGTCAATATTTTGTTATACATTACTGAAGCAAAAATGTTTATCTCAACAATCTACCACTGTATATTATGATTTTAATGTCGTATAGTACATGATTAGGGGCCAAAAGGGGCCAGAATGCTAAATCTTTGACGCTTTATATCTCGGAAGTGAGAAATATTTTGATAAATTGTATTGTACAAAAGATGTTAAAAATAATGTTCCAAACTATATGCAACCTTTCATTTTACGCTAAATGTCCCCATTAGGGAGTTGAAGGGTTGGCCCCTAAATATCTCTTTTGCAAATAACTAGAAAACTAAAAAGAATCTCTGAATAGTTATTGAACAAAAAGTATTCAAAATCCAACAAGCTTTAAGATGAAATCAAATAAAAAGGGCTGCACACTCAAATTAGGGGCCAAGAGGGGCCAACAGTTTTCAATCGATAACTCTGTAGCAGTCAGTATTTTGTAATACATTACTGAAGCAAAAATGTTATTCTAAACAGTCTAAAACTATATATTATGATTTTTATTCCGTATGATACATAATTAAGGGCCACAAGGGGCCATGATGCTCATATTTGACGCTTTATATCTCGAAAATGAGAAATATTTTGATAAGTAATATTGAACAAAAGATGTTCAAAATCATGTTCTCAACAATATGCAACCTTTTATTTTTCGCCAAACGTCCCCACTAAAGAGTTGAAGGGCTGGCCCCTAAATATTTCTTTAATTTTGCAAATGACTCGAAAACGAAAAAGAATCTCTGAGTAGTTGTAGAACAAAAAGTGATTAAAGTCCTAAGAGCTTTAAGATGATATGAATAAAAAGGGCTGATTCCTAAAATTAGGGGCCGTGATGGGCCAAAAACCGATTTTTAAAAATCTTTAATGTTCAATGTTTTGTAACAGATTATGGAAAATCATTATTTTAGAATGAAAATCTCAATCAAAATCTTATTTCATCTCATCAAGAATCGGACGGAAGACCCACTCGTTGCTCGCAACGAGATCGTATCTAGTTAAGGTCTTCCGTCTTCACGGAAGACCTTATAGTGATTGTACTGTTTCTTATTATTATCCTTTTTTTTGACAAAAATTTTGTGCACGCGATTTCTCGAATACTATTCAGCTGTTTCTCATGAAACTTTCACAAAATATGTGTCATTATATGAAGTTGTTACATCCGTAGAAAAATTTGGAAAATTCGCTTCTGGTGCCAAGCTATGGACAATTTCCTGATTTTAAATTGCGATTTTGTCGCGCACTTTTATCGACAATGGCAGAGTATATGATATGGAGACTTATTGGAGATGATAGATCATGACTTTCTGGTTTGCAGAATCACCTTTTCGTGCGTCGTCAGTGCTTCCGGTCGTTACGAGATGCAAATTTAAAAAACTCGTATTTTCTAACTTTTTTGTTTTTCAGTATTTTTCATTTGTTTTTGGTATCTTAATAGAAATCCTCCTTATAATGCTTACTATTTAATTTGTTTGAATATTGATAAATCTAAACTCTAGATATTAGCATTCAAAAATCTGAAGCGGGTCCAAAATGGCGGCTGTCTCAGTCAACGCCGACATTTCGCAATAGTGGTTTATGGAGTCAGCCGAGCGTTTGCTTGAACAAAAGTAACATAAGTGTAAATGGAATGTAAAGGAATACTTGGATTGTCACGACGTAGTTACGTTGCAGTTCTGTGTCAAACTAACGTCTTCTATAATTGGTTTTGGCTGGTTTTCAAATTAGAGAAAGAAAAGACTAAATGTGCAAATGAAATTCGATACCTAATATCTTTTGTGCATTACGGAAAAACAGATCTTAAATCATACAAAAAAGAATATAAATTAATATTGTCAGTATACATGTATATCTTAACCACTCGGTTTTTCCTGTGCACACTTGTGTCATATTAAACTAATAAATAATACAAAAATAGGAAAACGATTTTTTAAAATATCGCTTCATGGAGGTTATTTTAGCATTCTTCCATCAAAGACCTGATTCAAGTTATTTAGCATAAATGATATCTGATTCCTTGACCGTCGTAGGGCGAGCCATGTTTTTCGGTTAAACGTTTCAACCTTTTTCGATTAACTAATCGGGATAATTCACTTTGGGGAGAAACAGGAAATTGAAAAAAAATCATAACCGTTTCACAGCTTTAGTGTTATACATGCATATCTACAGTTGGAATTTGTTAAATGTGTTAAATATACTTTTTAAACCTCGAATCTTAGGCTATAAGAACGTTGTTTTCTTAATTTCATTGAAGCTATCACACATATTTAATAGAACATACCAAAGAAAAGGGGCGAAGATTAACTCGTGGCGTTTGGGGCTAAATTTTGAATAGTGACCCGTCTTTCATAATTTGAAGAGAGAAGCAATGTTTCGTTAATATATATACAAGTAGATTTAGAGTAGAGGTCCCGATAGCGTTATATTTAGTGCGTTGGAATTTCATGCTGGCGACTTGGGTTCAACCCCCCTTGTGTGCATTTTTTTTTTACTTTTTCAGCTCGATTTTATACTTTTTCTTTCCGGAATTGGACGGAAGACCTCTCGTTGCTCGCAACGAGTTTCTCATCTAGTTATTATGTTCCCCGAACGAAGTTGGGGAACATATTGTTTTTACTCTGTTTCTTATTATGTCGCCCCGAACGAAGTCGGGGACGACATATTGATATTGTACGCATGTTATTTTTATCCAGGCTGTTTCTCGGAGATGGCTGGGGCAATCTTCCTGAAACTTTCCTCAAAGGACGATCACTGGTTGTAGTTGTGCAGTGAGGTCGTTCAGTTCCAATATGTCTACCGTTGCCATGGAAACCTGTAAAAAGCGACGAATTTTGTCCGAGAGTGTTCTCTCTGGTCCCTTAAAGGTTCGTAATGAAACTCTTTTTATTTTAATGATTAGTATCTGTAGTTGTGCGCCTTGCATTTAAAATTTTCAAATACTCGATTATTGCCATGGAAACCAGGGGAATGTTAAAATTCTTTAATTTCGATTTTCTCAATAACTACTCAAGCAATCGTTTTGAAACTTTCAATGTTAATTCCTTGCAATGTGTCAAAGTGATTTTTTACTTTTAAAATAATTGTAATGAGTCGCTCACAGTTGTCATAGAAACGAAACAGAAAAAAAGGTTAAGATGTACACATGTGTTCTCCAAGGTCTAGGTCAAAGGGTCAAAGTTCTTCGTGTCCAATAAAAGTTCTTTTCACAAGGATTACATATTTGAAATAAGAAAGCCCTAGCCCTTACCGTTCAAACGTAAAGTACTATGTTCAAGACGACCCCCCCCCCCCTTTTGAAGCGCACTGCCAGTTAGAATACACATATCTAACATATACAACTTACAAGTAAC